TCTTCGTCAATCAGCTGGGTGCGCTGCACCTGCCCTTTCCCCCTCGGACTACCCCCACGGCGTCCTTCCAGTTCTCCTGTGCCTCCTCTCTTCCCCGGCCCCAGTGTCCCACGGCTCTCTGGTCCCTGTCTCCTCGGTTCCCCGTGCCTGCATTTCCCCGGCATCCACCTCACCCTCAACTCCAGTCCCTGAACTCTGTCCAGCTTCTCTCAATGTCATCCCATGGTTTACAGCATAGTCAACCAATGTTGCCTGAATCTCGTCTGATATATTTTGTCTTCACATTCTTTGTCCACATCCTCCTCCAGGTCTACCTCTTCCTCTGCATGCTCAGACATTCTCCTTTTCCCTTTTACTGCAACATTGCCTTTCATTTTTGTTGAAACACTACATCAATGGTACACTCACATGTTTTATAGTGCTTATACCTGATTGGTGAATTAACAATTAAGTGCCTGTACACCTTGGTTCATACGTGTGTATATTTAAAAGCAGTGCATTTAAATGGTAAAGAAATGACATCATTTTAGATTTCTGTGTCTAATGTGGAGAAGTGTGTTTAGTGTTGACTGGTTCTGATGGACACCGAATCTAAGTGTCAATTAGGGCACTGCTTAGGAGCCCACCAGGCTTCTGCTCTGCCTCAGGCTCCTGTCCTCTATCTCTTCCTCCCTTTTGGAACAAAGATTAGCATTCCTAACATTTTAGAGAATTGTTACAAAACAAAGGGCCTTGCCAAAATGTTGTGAAGGACACCTTGGATAAGGGGATGAAAGGATAAGGTCAAGAGAATTGTTAGTATTTCCATAGATCAAAACTATTTACCTAGTTTATTTACCAAAACTAAAAAAAGCATACAAAGTCTACACTTCCTTTTCAATTCCTAAGTCTAAAAATGCAAAAACTGACAAAGTTTCTAGCTAAAGGAGAAGAGCCCTCACTTCCTCAGAATCACTGCTCCTTGGAGCTGAGGGGGTTTACAAAAGTAATGGCTTCTAAAATACAAGTTCCTATTTCTAAACAAAGCTAGTTCCAACAGACTTTTTCAGCCAGACATGCTTCACTGATAGAGCTATGTTTACCTGAAGATCCTGTCTATCGAGATGGACTCACACATGTAGTCATCTTCCCCTTTTTTTCTCAATATTAAAAAAGCTACAATTCATTTGCTGGGCTGGCTGGATAAGGAGCACTAGCACAATGCATTCTTGAACTTTGACCTCTCCCAACACTTGCTGTAGTGTTTTGCAAAATGTATGAGGCTAAGAATGTGCACAGTTGTGCAAACTGGGCTGAGGATTGCTCCTTGAGAGTCTGGTTTAACAAACTGTGTGTTCTTTTTTATTTTAGTGTGTAAGCAATTGTAACCACCACAGTCAAACAACAGGAAACTGAAATCTTTAAGGCTCAAAAAAAGAAACACTGGCCAAATTAAGATGTTTTATCAACATATCAATCAGGTAAAAAACAAAAGACGTAGTACCATCACAGCTGCAATGAAGATGTTGAATAATATTTCTATTGCACTTGACAAGAAGCAACATTATGCATTACTTTTTATTAATCTATCCAAAGCTTTCAACACCATTGATCATGATGTTTTAAAACTTCTGAACTCCATTCTCTCAGAACAAGCGATCCCTCTGTTCTCTGGTTTAGGTGCATTAGATATGATGGTCTATGTTCAGATATTGTATCAGTCTACAAGGGTGTACCACAAGGTTCTATATTATGACCACTTTTATTCACTATTTATAAAAATAATCTGGGTCAAAACGTGTCAGATGCTAATTTTCATTTTTAAACTGATGACACTGTAACATACTACTGTGCATCATCTCTTGTACAGGCCATGAATTCTTGAAAAATTTTATTGCAGTCCAATATAACTTATTTCAGCTGATTCTAAATTCAGTTGAGACTAAATTTATGTTTTTTAGAAAGTCTAGTTATATGCCAGTCTGGGGGGAAGTGAAATAGGTTATTTACTCTTATAAACACCTGGGTATATTTGAAGGCTGAAACTGGGTTTTAATTTTCAAAACACCAATACGTAAATTGTAAAAAGGGCATTTGTGTATTCTGCATCCTCAGCATGGAATACATTGCAAAATGACTTGAAATTCAATGAATTAATCTCTTAACCAGAAACAGAAGTCTCACTCAAGAATCATTCTGAAATCTTGCGAAGGGTGAGTTGTTGAGGAGTTTGCTGTGTTGGATTCAGATTACCTAGGTCCAGGGCCCAGGTTTAAAAATACTAACATAGAAATAGCTTGTATACAAATTTCTGAAATCCATCCCCTATGAAAATTGCCAACTAAGTATAGAAACAAATACAATCACTGTATTAGAATTGTAAAAAAATAATACTTCACAAAGTCTGAAGTCTGAATAAGAAAAAAAAATGCTTCAGCCACTTTTCTGTTCCAAGAAAAACGAGGAAGCCGATCATGAGGGATTTCATTGGATCATTTAACATAAAGCATTCTCCATCTCCCGGTTAGCTTGCTTGGTCTGGTCATTTTCATCAAGATTGTGCCAAAGCAAATGAGAAAAACTCACATAATCAAAATTTGTGATTATGTTCTATAAATCTAACTGATAAGTGGCTCACGGTGGGCAATACCAGTGCTTTTTGTGCAGAAGTGCTGGCACCAGCTCCCGTTTATCCCAGTTCCTGCCACCTGCACGGCATCACATAACTCCGGTCTCAGATAACAGCCTCCACATGGGTCTGATACCAGAGGGGTCCAGAAGCAGTCAGAGGGAAAACACACACTGAAGTTTCCTGATCTTCTCCCACACCAGGGCCCACGGCCTGCTCATGTTCATTACACCCACACAAAGCAAGATGTGCTCCCCTGCTCAATCTCATAGACCAGGACCTGGGCATGCCACACATTGATGCACAATGGAATAATAAAACTCACCCTCGGGCAACTGACAGTAGGGGAAAACAAATAATCTGCACAAACAATTAGGTCATTTTCAAGACCCTCTGACGGGGAATCCTATGCCTGGGCCTTTGAAGTACAGGACAAAGATTGTGAGATGGGGGAGGAAATGTCCATCAGGTTCAGTTGAGGAGACAACTGATGCACATGACTTAATTAATGTAATTTCCTCGCTTCTGTCCATGGTTTTGTGTTTAAAACACGTATCGTCCAGTGTGAGAGGAGAGAGCAAATGTGCTCTCTGTATCATTTGTGAGAAATGTGTGAATGGATGGGAAAATTTAGCTTGTCATTGTCTGTGTGACGCTTGGCGGCCTGACACACCACTCTGTGCTGCCAGTCACGTCAACATTCCTTCCACCATGTTTGTTTTGGAAGGGGTTCCCTAGAAAAATCACTTTATTCCTTTGTTGCTGCCAACCTATACTGCTGAGGCAAGGTTTCCTGTACGCTTTTGGACTAGACGCTAATTTTCGCACCTCATGTACAGTCACAGGGTCTTTTTATCCCTCTGCTTCTTTTCCCAGCAATGCTTAGCCTACACCAACTAATGGAAAGTTTTAGAGATGTGCATAATACCACAGCCACTTACACTTTCCTCATTCTCAACTTTGACACAGGCAGTGTAGCATGTGTTATGTTAAATCAACACAAACTAATATAAAAATAGAAACTGTTGCTGGGAATATTTTGTGGTGTTATTACTCAAAAACACTCTTACTTTGCTTTAGGAATATTTATTAACATTTAATTAACAGACTTACCATCAAAAGGGAAGGTTTTAGTGAGAAATTCCTGATCAGTTCCTCTTCAACTGATTTACTGCATCTCCCCACAGTGAACCAGGACATCATGCCACGTTGCCTCTCAGCATGCAGACCTCATCGCCTCAGCCTGACAAGTGTCTACATGTTTTATCTACTTTGTTGAAAAGTGAAATGCTTCTGCTGCACAAAGTGGTCTAGCCTCTGTGTTAAGTATGGTAATCACTAAGGGAATGTAACATTATAACAACCACTCAGGCCCTCCTAGATGAATTTGCTGAAGTTAAAGCTCACTTAGACTTAATTAAATGTATTACATTGATATCATTACAAAGATAGTCTATTTGTTGTTCATTGTCTGTTGTTCATGCACCTTCAAACCTGTAGATAAGATATGCGCACTTAGATATGTTTACACAAACAGTAAGACAAAACCACAACGATAAAGTTTGAGCGCAAAAGTTCATTCTTGACCTCAAATTAAGGTCCATTGTCTTTTTCCAGTGTGATATCTATCAGTCAGCTATCCACATTTATCTCTGTAGATAAATGAGTTGCAGGAGGGCTGGGTCCAATCGAAGCCGAAAGTGGCTGAGAGGTCGGGTACAACCTGGACATGGTGCCAGTCAATCACAAGGCTGACACTCAGTCAGCAGGTATCTTATAGTCACCAATTAACCAAATGTGCATGTTTTTGGACTGTGGGAGGAGAATGGAGCAAATTTAAACACTCAGAGGAACCAGTGAACATAAGAAACTCCACATGTAAACTTAATACAACAAATCTTACACAATGACTAATTTGCTTCTCACCTAAAACTATGAACTTTTTTTTTTTGCCTTAGGATGAGTTAGTTGGTACGCTTATGGCAAAATATAGTCTTGCTCTCCTAGTTTCTGTTACTGTAAAAATACATATAACTAATTTGGAAAGAGGTAGGGGGGAAATTTATGTAGCACACCTACATTAAAATATCTGGAAGATTTAGCAAACTGCGTGAGTTCTTAATGGCAGTGTGTTATTGATTGTTAGAGGAGCAACAGACAGGACTGGATCAGTCTGCCTTTATAGGCTCCTAATATTTATTTGGGATTTGTTTCTTGCCATTGCCAAATCCCCATTCTAAGAAACATATGTTGTTTTTACAAAAACACGACTAATCTTTTTTCAAAATTGCATAAATTCAACCATTGATACCACCTGAAGTTCTATGTGGGCATCAATCAGTGAGTTTATTTAAGAGCGTATTCAAAGTCAGAAAGTGAAAACGACAACGTCTGGTGATTTCTGCTCCATTTCCTGGAAGCATTTATTAGTGTCAAACCTGCAAGTCAAAAAACATTCAGAGCAAAACAAATTGCATGGCTATTTTTACAGACAATTCTAAACAGTGCAGCTTAGAGTCTGAGACTAACTGCCATTTCAAATTACCCGAACCTGACACACAGACTGAAGAATAAAATCAGTAAGATAATACTGAACTAGGATTTCACTTTACTATGTGTCAAATTATATCAAGAGAGTCAAGATCAGTCAGTAAATTCACCATGAACATCACAACTATATGTGTCATCACTACTAACTGTTGGCAATCGTATCACCAAGGTGCGCATGGGCAGCCAAGCAATTAAATGAAAAAAAAATTACATTAGAAGTGTAATGTACGCTACTACAGTATGTACCTAAAACTGTAAACTAACTTTCAAGTATCAATAAGCAGTGATTGAGGTCATTACTGTAACAATAACTTAACTGTAAGTCGTTCAATAAATTAACACAACCGCAGATTTTGTACTTAATAACAAGACAAAAATACCAAAATTCCGTATAAAACACATCTGTTGCTCTCTCATAAATAGAAGACAATAAATACAAAAATAAATAAATTAATAAATACATACATTTAAAAAAATAACCTACTAATATATAAAACTTAGAGCTCAGTAGTCCTTTCTTTTAAAATGACCGTTGGGTTGATATCACTGCTGCCTGAATGGGATGTGCTTGAGTTGATGATCATGGACCCCGTGTCTTTGACGTCTGGCACATGAAAAGACGCCACTGGACAGGGGCCTCGGACATTATTACAGACGAGGCTCTGAAGGGAGGCCGTGTTGACGATGTCGAAGCCCACGCTACCTCCGAATGTGCTGGGCTTCCAGTACTCCGGGGAGCAGATTGGGTTTCCCATTAAGCCCTTGAGGGAGAAAGGTGCCCCCATCTCCACCATGGTCTCCCCAAAGATGGCATTAGGCCTGGGTTTCTCCACCAACAGACCCGGGTAGAGCTCCACAGCATCGATGTGTCCATACATCTCCTCGAGCAATGCGGCCATTTCTTTCTCTCCTGAGTAAAAAGAGTTTTAGTTAGAACCTCATTCTGGATTGTCACACTTACACAGCTGCAAATCTTGCTGCGAGTCTAAATATGAGCTCTGCGTTTTGACTCTTACAACTTTACACACACTCTGATATGTTTCTCTCCTCATACATCACAGTTAGTTTTTAATCAACATTAATTCCTCTCTTCTTGTGACATTTAAATACTTTCCTCTGAAGCAGGAGGCCTCTCTTGTCTGTTTATGTCTTGCTCTCTGTTGATGACAGTCTGCTTACAATATCTTAAGATGAAATGAACATCGGGTTCACGGAAATAAATTCCTAACCTACAAAGCTGCTGGGGAATAAAGCTGAGTCCAACACATTTCTTTACCCATTTCGCTATGACATAAGCTTTGATCTGTAGCGTCTGGGAGTGTTTTTCAATCTTGTATATAATTCCTGCACTCAGTTTATGACAAGGCTATTGATAACAACACAATAATTTGTCCTGAGGCAACATTTCCTTTCACCTCTTCACTAATCATCTGATGTCATCCTTTCAATCTGCAAGAATAAGGTTTTGCAAGTGACCTTGACTTTGTCTCACCTGTCATCTCTTCAAAAGAGCTGTAGGGCTTCATGGAGAATCGCTTCCTGTAGGCGTTAAGAGACTGGTAGCGCATCTTTCTGCTGTTTTCAATGGACTTAATGGCCACGTACAAGACAGCTCCTGGGACATTTCGGCCACCGGCAACCTAAACAAAATTATGGAAATCAGTTAATCAGCCTTAAAGCAGTGACACAACAGTTGTGTTACAATTTAAATCTAAAAGCTGCTATCACAGTTCAAACTGTTCTTACCCGTCCAGCAATCTGCTTTGTAAATGACTCCACAAGGTTGCTGATGCCGTGCTCAGTCACTACAGAGGTGTTGAAGACAAACTGTTTATAGCTGTAATCTTTCTCCTCAATGTGGAAAGAATCAGGCATCAGTGGATGCCAGTGGTACAGGGTGTTGAACTCTGATGCAATGCGGTTCTGGTACTGAAAGCGCTGGTTGAACAGCAGCTCAGGATCAAACTTGAGCTTGAAGTGATAGCCGCTCAGGTGCTGCACGTAGTCCTCGATCACAATCTTGATGGTCTCTCCTGCAGGACAAGTGATTAAATATTTTATATAATGCAGATATTATAAATGCTTACATTCCCCTTTGTAAAAGCATTTTGCTTTTTGTTACTTCAAGAATCTTCAATGTGCAGAATAACGTATGTGTGTTTTCCCATTCATCTGCTGAAAGTGGAAAGTGTCTGTGCTCACCTTAAATGGGAGTTCTAGACATGTACATACGAGCATGATTGCAACTAGTTTGGAAGCCAATCGAGGTTCATCACGCAACTTAGACAAGTGTGATGTGGAAACGTGAAACCTCTAGTGCACAGTGACAATAAACTTTTCAGCGAATTAGAGACACCATGTGTCCAGCATGTAAACTTTTGAATAATATTCAGAGATTCTGCATTTTTCAATTAATTTTGAAGACTGTTTAGCCAGGTAATTGTGGGAAATCCATTTCAGACACAAATTCAAGTAGTGTATTTTATGTGTCCTAAAACACTTTGAGGGGATCGGGAATAGTTTGTAAACACGCAGTGATGTCCTGAAAAGGAAAATTAGGACATTTCCTCTTTCTCACATCTTTCAGTAAATCCTGTTTCTCAAAGGACAGCTCGAATGCTAGTAGGCGATTACAGAAATAAAAAGTACAACTTCCTCCTTTTATAACTACATTAATACCATGACAAGTGCATGGCGTGCCTTTATTGTTATTACTTTGGTTTAATTTTCCCCGCTATATTACAGCAAATGTTGTTTTTTTTTAGTTTTGTGCAGCTCTCAGAACCTCATAAACTCACCAATTAGAATGAGCCGTGTGGTCTGGAAGAGCCTTTCATCGTCCCAGTCAGGGTGGACCTCCTTCAACACATCACACACCCGGTTATGTTCCCGTAGCCAGATTGTGGCGTACATCATCAGACCAGGGACCAGGCCAAAAGCCTCATGGCCCACAGCGAAGCGGTGAGAGTCAGGGACATGAGGAGGGTAGTGCATTTCAACTCCCACTTCCTTTACTGTTGGGGGGTACACCTCTCCATCCACGATCTGCAGAGTTACCGAAGAGAGAGAGCAAATGTTATACATTGTTTTGTCTGAAGCATTTCGCTGTTCAAATTACAGTACAACTGTCTCTTCTCATACCTGATATTTAAGCTTGCCATCTTTGAAGAGTCTGAGCTTGCGTTGCTTTTCCAGGCCATCTCCATAAATGTGGTTGAGGTCCACCTGAATGGAAACACAACACCATTAATACATGTATTAATAAATAATTCATTCAAAAATGTGGTCTCTTGCTGCTGTGCTTACCCCGTGACCTTGAGCTACTGTAAAAGCAGGCCCTTTCTTCATATCGGATTTAAAGAACTGGTGGGTGAAATGCTGCGCGAAGAATGCAAACATCAGACTGGTGCCCTGCGGGTCCGGAATGAATTGTCTTCTCATCAGAAGCTTCTCAGCCAATAGCTTAGCATCAGGAAGCTCCTTTTTACCTGGGGAAAAAATTACAAACATTACAGTAAGCATACAAGATTATAATACAGAACTTTAAGCGCATTAATGTGATTGAAATGTGAAATGATTTACTTAGGGTAAGGCTTGGAAAAGCTGTAACTTAGGTTTACTTTCATTGTAAAGTTCTCAGACAACTTAATGTAAAATTAGAAAAAAGTAGTTTCATGTTCTTTAGTTCTGGCTAGCTGGGGCAGGTTTTGCTGTGCACATTTCCACTCAATCCAACAGAAGGGATCATTTCAGTGTGTGCATGTGGTGTAATGAGGCCAAGCCACTCTTGCTCACCATTTAAGAATGTGAGAAAACTGGTTCTCCCCAAATCAAAAAAGAGATTGCTCTCACCTACTACCCCCATAGGTGTTGGGCAATCCTCACTCACAGGTGGCAGGGTGCGCGTATAGTACGAAAGGTTGGAATAGGCTTCCCAACTTTTGTAACCATAATCCGCATTGAAGGTTGGAGGACTATCAATCAAGTGGGATCGGGCTAAGGAGGAAAAAAATAACAATTTTGTTATTAGTATAAATGCCACAAGTGTTTCTACAAAAGTTGATGTACAAATGATTTGTTGTATTAAGAAGCTTTTTGCCTTTGTGCTAGAGACACTTACATGTCAGCACATATCTCATGATGGCATCCCTGAGAAATGAGATGTTATTGATGATGTTCCAGAAGCCCTTGAAGTGGGTGAGAAGGTAGTGGACCGTATTGGGTGATGGCTTTAGGGAGATTTTGACCCATGTAAGTAACTCCGCTGTTGAAGGTCAAGAGGGAAGTTAAATCAATGAAACGCAACATACATCCTAATTCCTAAATACAACCTTGAGTGTGTGTGTGTGTGTGTGTGTGTGTGTGTCACACTTACGTTCTGTGCAGTTTTGTCCATAATATCCTGTGCCTGTGCAGTCACACTCATAATTATCTGCCCCAAGCCCTGTGCAAACACCCCTGTTCTGGCATGGGTCTGAGCAACATGGGTTACCTATAAAAGACAAAGTTGTGCGGTTACTGACAATTCACTTGAGATACAAACACAACTCATAATATCAATCCACTCAAAACACTACAAAATAGGCAAATAAAGCTCTGAGCTAACAAAGACACGTTTTTAAAACACGTTTAGTGCTATAGTCTAGTCCTATAAAAGTAGGCCTGTATCAACATATTATGAGAGGTCTCTAAATACTAAAGTTTGTACAAAACTTTAGAGCTAAAACCGAACTTTTAAAGATTGCTTCTGGTTAAATTGTTGGATAGAATTTTCTGTTTCCTGTACTTACTGGCTTTGCAGACAAGAAACCCCAGTGCCAAAAGGAAAACCGCAAATGTGAGTGTGTTCATACTCCAAAGACAGTCGGATCTTCCTTTTCTTTCCTGCTCTCTTCTCTCTTCTGCGGTTGTGTCGCTCAGAGGCTGCGAGTTTGAATGTCTACCAGCGGAGTGTCAATGCACCTTTATAGCTTAAGCGACGTCATCGCTTTTTTTCTGAATGGCTCAGCTGAGTTTTGGCAATGTGACACTTTACCGACCTCTCTTTTCCTTCTTGTTTTAACTTCATTCTTTAAATGGAAAATTTAGAAATGAATGAAACTAAAATTCTGAAAATTTCAAACTTTAATATTTAAACGCTGTATTTCTTCCCCTGCAAGTAGGGAGTATGGGACAGAAATGCATTTTATTATCGTAACCTATAGCTTTTTAATTGATGTCTCATAACCTAAAGGGGCCACTATTACAATATTAAAGATACATTTTAAAGATATGAATGTCGCCTCAATGTCCTAATTTCCACAAGAAGACGACAACATTGAAGATCAAGTTATAATTTCATATAACAAAACAGATCTGTAGCATATATAAATTGTCATTGAACAAACCTATAGAAAAAAAAATATCTAATGCATTTGTAGCCTATTTTTCAGTCATGAGAAATTACCAGCTGGTTTATTTTTCTCTAAGCGATGAGGTACTAGAATTGATATGATTTACTTTATTGATAAAATTTACTTGAATCACGGGTCTCTGTTGGCATTATGTCCAGGCAGAACTTTCTCTCTTTTTTTATTGTCTAAATGAATCATTACTTTAAAAACAGTGTTTCGGGTTAAGACATGGACTGGAAAGAACGGCATGCGTACCAAAAGGGGAATCTTTGAATAACAGCCTATGTAACTAAAGCGTCACATATACTTATTAAAATCACAAAAAAATGTTTATTCTCTCAACACAGTCAGACTTTACGCGCCCTCATGTGGACGTCGATGCTTACGCATTGGAGAGGTGGGCAATTTGTCAGATGCAGCTTTCTCCGCTGAGTCAATTTCTGACTCTTGTTCGGAGTTTTCAGGTGGCGGAACTCTTCCCTGCCTGTCGTTTTTGCAATAAACAACCTCTTAACCGTGTAGTTATTTTGTCGTCTCCGTGTAGCTCGTGTTTGTAAGACTTTTCTTCAAATTGAAGTCCGACTGTGAAACTCCAGATTGCCGAGTGTTTATAGGATACTGTGTTTCGGAGAAGCACCTCCTCCAGCAGTGGTGGAACGATACTCTCCATAAGCATGACACACTTTTCAGGATTTGTGAGTTGATAGCGCTCTCCAGTTAAGGTACGTTTCCATTTTCTTTTCTTCTTACGAGACAATGTTGCAAATTGGAATGGACAGGAATTTGGAGAGGAAAGTCATTGCCAGGAAGTGTTGCCAGTGGTGGTTTAACCAGCGGTGAACAGTCCCTTTACGTAACTCAAGAGGATAAGGGAACAAAACGCACACTTACAGAACAAAAATACTTTCACTGATGCAATTGACCTGTATAAAGACCTAAATATGGCAGATCAGAGCGAACATTGCATTTAGTTACCTATAAGAAATCTTTATATTCATAAATATGTTATTTCCTATGTTGCTGCCATGTTTTGTGTTTACAGTATTGCAAATTGATAGCTTCCACGGTCATCTCTATTGACTCACATTATCTGAGGCAATACCATTGTTGCATGTTGCAAACTCATACCATCAAGCCCTCTAAGAAATGACCTTATTTTGTACAGCTGTACAACTACAGAATCAGGCAAAACCTGTTTAGGCCTATAGTGACCTAATAACAGGTTCTGAATAAAACCTAATCCAGATAAGAGTTACACGGTGATGACTTTTCCCTGTATTGTTTCGTTTGAGAAATGCTCAGTGATTCATAGAAGGCATTTTGTGAGTTAATTTGTTTGTTTTTAACTTCCGACCTTTACCTTTTATGTCTGAGGCAGGACTACACTTGTACAGTAGGAGGCTTACTGTATGCCTTTAAGACCTGTAATTACTGCTGCTGTTTTGCATCACGGTTGGTTGCTGTGTGTTCATTTCACGTTTTCCGTCCTCATATGAAAATTTTGTGCTGTGAGGTCTCTGGGATATGTTGGCACACACACAGGACTCAGCATCCTGCATGCACTCATTGTTCAGTGCAGCACAAGTGAACTGGCACTTAGAAAAGTTGGACCACTAATGCCAACTACGTGACCAGTACTGTGAACACACAGACTCTCTACGTGCTCTCAGTCCCTTCAGTAATGATACGCTTTGGTGAACAGCTGAGAAAAGACTCGCTGACCTTGATACGCTATCACCAGCGCGCGCGTGCGTACACACACACACACACACACACACACACACACACACACACACACACACACACACACACTTAAATGCAAATTTCTTATCAACAGTCCTGTTCAACCATCATAAAGAGAATGTGTGTATGGTTGCTAAAAATATCACACCCACCTAAGCATCAGACACACATTAATGCTAGTTATTGGCCCAGTTGTCCTATCATATGTTTGTGGCTCAGCGCTCTCCCCCTTGCCCATGCCAAGATGCAAAGTGCTTCACAGCTTTTATAAAAGGGTATCCTCCTTCAAAAAGTTACAGTAAGTTTGCCTGGTTGTTGAGGATGTGGTGAGGCTGTGGTGGTGGGATGTTATTGACTGACCTTGCTAAACATAACCACTGGAAATTCTAGGTTTATAATTTCAGAGCATCACACATTTAATTGCACGTTTTTTTTTCATGTAAGTTCTCTGTATTGTAAAGCTGTACTTATGCATTTGTACTGATATTAAATGTTTGTGTTTCATCTTTCAGGCTCCAAACGCTCCAGTTCTTAACTGAGATGTTCTCCTGAGTTAAAGTTCACATCTTGACCAAGGATTTCCTGAGAATTACTCCCTACACAACACACAATGGCTTCCAATATAATTGTGAGTGTTATTTCCTGTATTAAGGCAGGCCAAGCAGTCTTTAAAGGCTACTCCTGTCCCTGTTAAATGCTCACACCTTAAAACTACAGTGAATAGTAACATTTCTTTAAAAAGTAAGATAGTTTAATGGGAATTAACATATTTCCCAGTTACGAGATGCTACCAAGGGGCTTTGGGGAACGCTCTCAAAACCACCTGAAACAGTTATTGAAAAGTATATGGAGTATGTTCCCAAAATGATGACAGGTGTACTCAACAATGCTAGGTTACAGATATGTAGTTTTACGTGTGGAAGCTTAAAGAAATGGGTACAAATCGTGGAATAATGAGGAATCGTTAATGTACAGCAATGTACTTGTAGAAGAAGTTCTTTTGAATGACTAGAGTGTAGGTGCTGCTCCTTGTGGTAATAGGTGTAAGTACAATACTATTAAATATGCTTTTGCAGTTACGAGGTAAGGTTTCCCCATCTGGTCTTCATCTAACAAAGACTGCTATTATAAAGTGTTGTGGAATTGTTACTCTCTTGTTTCCCATTGTCCTCTTCTTCCACTGTACCTACATTTAAGTACCACTAGGAACAAGTCAATATTTTATTGGTATCTGATCCATAAAATTACCAGACTGTGTTACTGTATTTTTAGTGAAATGCGAGATGAAAGTATTTATTGATCAGTATGAACACAGCTGGGAAGCTCCTGAACAAGAGCATGGCACAGTGGATGAAATAGTCGGTGTCAACCTGCCCAAAATTTCACTGACTGACACACGAAGCTGCAGTGAACCTGCCTAACCCCAAACCCTATATTTCTTCTACAGCATGGGTTATGCACCTACTTAGCTGTGTGATTTGTATTTGTAATGGCTGTTTCCGTTGTAGATGGAGTGATTTTCCCACAGTGATGACAATGAAGCTAAACTAAACTGAATGAATGTTATATTGCAGGTTGAACAGCAGTTTTCTCACAAATTCATAGTGACTGTGGTTCGAGCCGAGAGCGTCACAAAGGGAGCACTGGGTGACCTGTGTGAGTCTTAATAATTTATTTCCCCCCCTATGTATGTGATTCTAACATGCAAACATGTTGTTGCTGCAAATCATTCAAGGCATACTGCATGTACATGGTAGCTACATGTACGTGTTTGTGATATTTTCACTGGAATTGTTTGTACCAAAATCATTTTAGATCAACATGAACTTTTCACACAAAAATATCCCAATACAAGTGAACGTGAGCAGGGAGATACTTTCAGATTACTATTATATATTATTATATAACTATTCAGTAACACGTTTCAATGTGTGTTTGTGTGTGTGTGCAGTGGACACCCCAGATCCATATGTGGAGCTGTTCATCCCAACGGCCCCAGAGAGCAGAAAAAGGACCAAGCACATAGACAACAACATCAACCCAAAATGGAACGAGACATTTCACTTCATTTTAGACCCCAACCAGCACAACATCCTGAAGGTTACAGCTGCATTTTATTGTCTAGCACAAACTAATGTGTAGCTCTTGAAATGTAATCATCCATTTAACTGCTGATGTTTATTCCAATCAGTTAACATTAATGGACGCCAATTACGTGATGGATGAGACACTTGGGACTGCATCCTATGACATCACCACGCTCCCTGTAGGCCAGACAAAGATGGAGAGTTTCCTCATTGGCAAAGTAAGACATTCTACCCCAGCAGACTCATTGACAGTTCAAACATAAACTCATGTTGTGAGGACAAGCATTATTTAAACTTACAACAGTTTCTATTAAACTCTAGTTAAGATCCCACAATTTGTGAAGAAATAAAACATGTAGGAAATATTACAAGGAAATATGGACATGAAACCAAATACTTTTTCCATTTGGCTTCATATTACATATGATGTAATGCTACATAACTCAAAACTATTTCCTTATTATTTTATTTTTTACCTTGTAGATTTTGTTTGTGACACTTTGTGTTTGCCTGTTGACAGAATTACCAACCACAATCAGCTGTTCTTTTACTGGACAATACTCAACATATTTCATTGTTTTGACAGGCGACCAAAGTGTACTTAGAGATGACGCTGGAGATCTGGTAC